CCATTCTCGGGTTTTGGTATCAGGAGAATATAATGACCGAAGAGCTTGCCAAAGCCGAATCACGCTACCTTCTCACTCATTATATTCTCCTCGTACAAATCTGCGAAAAATCGGGATTTCGAAATCATTTTCGGATTTTGGTATCAGGAGAATATAATGACCGAAGAGCTTGCCAAAGCCGAATCACGCTACCTTCTCACTCATTATATTCTCCTCGTACAAATCTGCGAAAAATCGAGATTTCGAAACCATTTTCGGGTTTTGGTATCAGGAGAATATAATGACCGAAGAGCTTGCCAAAACCGAATCACGCTATCTTCTCACTCATTATATTCTCCTCATACAAATCTGCGAAAAATCGGGATTTCGAACCCATTTTCGGATTTTGGTATCAGGAGAATATAATGACCGAAATAAAATAAAAAGACATTTACTTGATTTGGACCTACTTTTTTATTCTCACTTATATTTTGATATATTACAATATATTATGTTACAATACAATATAGAGTACATCATAATATAATTTAATATCACGCAACATATACACGAATAATAATAAAAAGTTTCCCGCAGCGCGTTAGCGCGCGATTCCGAGATCCACCTGTTACGGGCGCAAAACGACACACATTCCGTGTATATAATATCCATGAAAATAAATATACATCCTGTACGTCCGCATTGAATCTCTGTACACAAAGTGTGGCCTAGTTTTATGAAATTTTTGCAAAATGCGGACCGTCCTCGTCGTGCGACTTCATCTGCATTTAAATGCACGGCTGAGTTTCCCTTCCGCGCACGTGTCGTCCGTCGCTTTGCTGTTGTCACACCTTTCGCGTTTGCAACGCTTTATCGACGCTTCGCTTATCAGCGAAATACGTTACCGTAAGTTCACACGGTATTATCGCTGTTGATCGCGCTACACTTCGCTGTAACTCGCCTCTGAGATCAATTCTTTCAACTCCGAGATTTATCGTCGTCGAGACGAAACGCGCACACTTGTCGTCTCTCTCGCGTTATTCTTCCGTACAGTTTCATTTATCCCCGTTTTTGTTTATATTCTCTTTTTCATTGAAAGAGAAGTGAAAATTAATTTGCCGGCGACTCGGAGTAAGAGAAAGCTTGACGTTAAAAAGGATTAAAAATCTCTGATAAGCGACGTGGAAAGTGCGTTACTCATACCGACCGATACGTGATAGCCGCATGGTCATGGCGAAAAAAAAGAGAGAGAAAAAGAAACGTACCGGTCGTGCCTCCCCCCCTCCTCTGTGAGTTCCTAAAGGGGAATTGACGAGGGGACGTCGTTGGGTCACACGCGAGGGGTGTAGAGAAAAGGGCGCGCGATCTGCTTCTACGTTCTTCTTATTAATAGAGCAGCATCGATCGCCCATTTCGTTGCCAACGGAAGGCACGTAAGTCAACGTACACGTACTCATGCGTCTCATTCGACCTCCTCCTCTTCGTCCCTTATCGCCATCCGGAAACAGATTCTCTCCATTCGTTCGTCCCATTTATTATCGAGCGACCGAAGTAATCGGGAGAAAATTCTCACGACACGCTCGTCAAATATAAAAATTCATAGAAATCCCCCTTCGTCGATGATTTAATTAATGAAGAAAAAGCGGGACCGACTGTCGTCGATGAAGCGGAAAGCCGCGAGGAGTGCGCGTCACGAATATTCGATGCCTGCCTTTTAATATCGTCGAAATGTTTCATTTAACGAACTTCGTTTCCGCGGGCTGCGGAACGCTTTTACCGAGTTATTCTTCTGACAACAGTTCGTTTGGCCAGTTCGGAATCGATTTGCTCCCGGGGGGCGGGAATGCCGCAGGCATTTCGAGTGATTAAACCGAGAGCCCCAGGCGAGGTAACGGACGACAAAACCGCGAGATGGCAGAAGTATGTAATGTGTGATGTAATATTGTGCAGCAGAGATTCGGCACAATATGAATTCCCACGACACGGCTCTCTCTCTCTCTCTCTCTCTCTCTCTCTCACGGTGATATCCGGCCGGTCGCGTAATCGGTTGGGAGAGTCGTCGTCGCGACGTTTACACCGCGAATGGCACGCTCAAACTGACCCAATTAGCAGACACGCCTGTGAGCGACATTAGCCTTCGATATTGCGCGCAATCGTCAACCGTTCATTGGCGCGAAATGCACCTGGCGGGGCCTGTGATTTTTAACCCTACGGTGGTCGCACGGGTGACAGGTGTCGTCCAAGCGCACACGGAGAAATAGATTTCCTTGGATTGAATGAAATTCCGTTGACAGAAACCAATTTGTCGCTTCGAACAGAGCAAACAAACGAATGTTCGACTCAAACAATAAATACCTCTACATTAAATGACGTTTCTTCGGTATTTTCATTACAATGATTGTTACGAGCAATGAATTATTTGAAAGAAGTAACGCTATCAATATTTAATGAAATATATTTTTTAATCGATACCTAAATATTATTTCCTCCAAATAATACTGTTATTCCTATCAAACAACATGGTTTGTTCTAGTGAGACAACATTTTCATTCAACTGAAATGATATTTGCTATTAAATTGTGTTGTTTATTTTAAACAAACCCAAGTCAAACAAACACGTGTAATAAATCCAAAGAAACCTTTTTCTCTGTGCGCTAAAATATATTTCCCGAAATATTAACAAATATCAACCTTGCACCTTTCGTGTATTTGTCTGGGGATATTATTACTTCCTAAAGCGATTTTTTTTTATTGTAAATGTCGATTTAAAATGGAAGACGTCATCCGTGCATCCACTTCAGGGTTAAATGTCACTTAATTTTCTCGCTCAATTTAATTTCTATAATTTTTAACTGTTAACAGCATCGTTTCGTTGTCCAGGTGTAACATATTGTGGAAAAACAGCGCGCAACGATAACAACTCTGTCGTTAAAAGTTACAGAATAGGTCAGCTAATGACTCGAAACGGAAACCCGTCGTCCTCGTCGCCGAAACGCGACACCCGCGTCGAGACGTGCGTGGCACGTCGTCTATACGGGGTGTGCCTGAAGTGAGCAGTGAAAGAGTGCAAGATTTTGTGCTTCTAGCGATTTCCCCTGTGATTCTCACCAGTCGAATCGGTGATTCCTCGCACGTTTCGGTGCAAGTTTCATCGAATTCTCGTCAAATTCCTTTTCACCTTCTTTAATAATTCATTAGTTTAATTAATACATTTTCGATCCAGGTTCTGAATCACTACCGAAATTTGGCGTCACTTTCCAACGCAGAGAGTGGATCAATTTGTAGTTTTTTCACAATTCCTCCATTATTCTCACTTGTGACCCGTACGTCCTTAAAACCGACGTGGTTTTGTCGCGCGGCAAACTAAGAGAGGACTCATACGGCTGACAAATGTCAAGGTGAGTCGTCGTTGTCGCATCCGACTCGGCGTTTCGGTGTAATTTGAGACTCGCGAGTCGAATCGGAGGGGAAATCTATCCGAGCTCATTTGCATCGCTCCTTTGCCCGATCGACGTGACTGTTTTTCCCTCCCTTTCTCTCCGTTTCCCGAACTTTTCCAATTAGTCTCGTAATCTTCCGAACAGCGCGCGTCACGTCTGGCGAAAACCCGGCCATTTCGACGGATCTGAGCGAAATTTCAGCGGCTTTCTCGCATTTGAAGGATTACCGTTCGGGACGACGATCCGTGTTAACCTCGCAGCGGTCCCGACACGCGCCTAACCCGTTACACACACGCTTATTTAACCGCTCCCATTGTGAGCGTACTTTTAATTAAACCCGCTTCTCCGTTTTAATTAATATTGGAGGCTCGAGATGACGAGAGGAATCAACGTAGCGCGGGCGCGTGCGAGAGTGATAGAAAGAGAGAGAGAGAAAGAGAGGACGCGGTGCTCCACGCGCGCGGTAGAGAAATTTTAATATTTCCGCTATTACGTCCAGCTTGCGAGGACAATTGGCAATTAGTCTTTTCGCTGAAATGACACGGCCGTAACGCACAAAGTTGCCACGGGATAGCGAGCCTCGTGTTATATTCCGATGTATCGGTTTATCGCGCCGATGGGAGAACCGATTTCAAAATGATATAAGAGCAAACTATAAATAATTATAACAATTATATCCGGCCGGTTCTTTCTCGCAGGAAAGAAGCGTTGTCTCTCCGATTGTCATCGGAGAGCAGAAAAAACGTTTGCTACGTCCTTTGATTTTCAATTTTCTGGAATTTGACGCCGCCTCGGAAGATTGCGGAAAGAAATATTTACGGAACGTACCTCGGATTCGTATGAGAAACGAGAGAAACGCGATGTTTCGCTTGTGTGTCCCAGTCGTCGACGTTCGCGGACAGTCTCGTCTCTCGACGTAGGGCTTCGTTTCAATCGCCGTGTCGCAGCTTCGCGCGTTCGCGATACACCGCAGCGCATCTTATCTCCGGAGGAGGCGCCATGCATCGCGACGAAAGAGAGAGAGAGAGAGAGAGCAGCGTTTCACGACTGTATGTGAATATATGCGCGCGCGAAGCTCGATAAAGTCCTCCGACTGCGTGCGTGGATTCGAAGGGTCGTCCTCCGAGTCGGGGGGCCGCATCCATTATCGTCGACGATCCTCCCTGTTTCGAGAGGGCACGCGCAAAAAGAAGAGAAAAAAGGAACGAGAGAGAGAAATCAATCGGACTCTCAATCATTCTCTCCGCACTGTCATTTTTTCTCAGCGAGAACGCGCTGTCAAAAATTCACTCCGAGGGCCTCTCGTGCAGCGAGAGGAACGCGACTCTCGTCTGGAACACTCGCGAAGGGCAGGCCGTAGCGATCGACTCGCGACCATCAGAGCCCAGCCCTTTTTCGTGCGCCCTTGGCGGATGAACGAGCGTGTGCACGAGAGGAGCGACCCGAGGAGCCACGTCGTCGTCGTGAACACGACGATACGTTATCGGACCTTCCTCTCTCTCTCCCTCTCACACTCTATCACTCTCTCTCTCTCTCTCTCTCTCTCTTTCATAATCAGAACGATAATAATCGGGGACTCACTCGTCGATCTCCTCCTCATCCAGCAGAAGACTCATCCTTAAGCAGCGCACGCGAAAACCGATAATGACGATGATATGCCGACCCGCTACGGGTTGATCCTCGCCACTGCGGCAGGGGTGTAGTCCTCCCGATGATCTTCCGCAGGACTATAGTCTCGAGAATACGCGCCGCGACTCTACGCGCGCGTCGCTCGGTCCCACCCCTCTCTCTCTCGCTTCTGCCTTCTCCTTCTTTCTCGCGCGCTCGAGAGACTCCCCTCCCGCCGCTCCCTCCTCCCCACTACCGTGTACTCTCTGTCCTTCTCCTCGTAGTCGCACGCGCGCACCTTTCCTTTCCCTCGCGTTTCACGTCTGTCCTTCTCTTTTCTAAACCGCGTGTTTCACCCCTCTCTCTCTCTCTCTTTTCACCTGTCTCGCTCCGTCCTCCCTTCGCTTGCGCGTCGGTCGGTTCGCTTTTTCACCTTGAACCGCTCTTTTTCACGCCAACACGCGATCTATACACACACTTTCTCTCTCTCTCTCTCTCTCTTTTCATCTCTCTCCATCGTAAACTGTTGCCCTCTCATTCGCACAATCTATTTCTCTCTCTCTCTTAGTCTCACTCCTTCTCTTTCTTTCCCTCCCTTCCCCTCTCTCTCTCTCTCTCTCTCTCCCTCTCTCCCTATTTTCCCTTTTTCTCTTTCTCTGTCGAACTATTGCTTCATATTATACCTCTCTGTCTCTAACATTATTTTTGCCCTTCTCCCTTCACCATATTTTATCTGTCAGGCTCTGTCCCATCCTTCTCTCTCTAACATTAAAGGCACGACGTCCAGGTAATGGAGCACTCGCCCCTCTCTGTACATGCGCACTATGCATACAGCTGCCCTCTTCCTACCGCCGTCCCCCGTTTTGTTCTCTACGCGCAGCTGGTCTATAGATGCGGTAAAGATTCCCGTGGCCTATTTCGCGAGAATCGACAGATCGACGATTAAATAAACGCATCAATAATCTCAACTGGTCAATTGCAAAATTAAGCGACAAATTAGCGATGTACATGCTCGCGTATGTGTATAAATTGGGTGTAAATATAAATTTACTAACTTATTTACTTAAATAACTTATTAATTTGTGATTATAAAGACAGAGAATTTTCTATCAAAATACCAAAATACTGCAAATAAAAGAGCGGTGTGTTTACGATATTTTTCAGGCAACAACGTCTGGTTTGTTTTCATATTGGAAACAGGATCTTCTTGAAAAGAAAAAAGTAAAATACGTATATATACAAAAACATAATATACACATATTCGCGCATTTATATACACAGTAACCTCTCAAGGTTTAGATTTCTTGGGTAATTCGAAGATAAAATTTATATTACGAAAATATTCGGGATTCTAGTCTTTAGTTTTCGAATAGTTTTCAAATAATATGCGAGGTTGACCAATCATCGTGGCTGAAGTTCACACGTTTAGGTATCATATATGGCAATAAAAGTGGAAACTTTTAGATCTGATTGGTTTGTACTCTTAGATCCTGCGTCATTATCAGAAAAAGTCTGAAAATGAGCACCAATTATATCCAAGTCTACCTGTATGTGCACTCTCGACCAGCGATTCCTTCCGAACTGGATCTAGTGGCTCAAGTCCATCGGATGCCCACCCTGTTCCAATAAAGGAAATATTCTTGTAAGAATCATCGGGGGGTAAACTCGTCGAGAACGGCCATTACCACGATGAAGCCTGTACTTTTTGAAGCGCCTCTACGTGCATTAAACGTGCACTTCACACACAATTCTCGCTGTGGGTAACGTCGCTCGACGATCTTGGTTCTGTTCTGTGTTACGTCCGCAACGAAAATTAAGTGAGAATCGACCTTCGTTCGCTATCCTCGTAACAGGAAATACTTGCGGACAGGTGTCCATTGCCGGAGCAAAATAAAGCCAGGAGAAAATTTGAAAAATGCACCGAAAGGTATCTTCCACAAGTAGATGCATAGGTACATTTATTATCGTCCCAGGAGGAACATCGCCTCGAAGGATATTATTACTGCAAAGTAGTACACAATTCGATCTGCGCGCGGTAGATGATTACAAAAATAAAACGTATAAAAAAGGACAAAGGACAGTTTTACAGGAGAGAAGGAAATCGCTAGCTGAATATCGTGTGGAAAATGTGCGCGCGATCGCATTAATTGTCGCACACTGTGTGACACTGGTGATATTCTCCCTCGAGTAAAACGACGGTACAATCGAAAAATAAAAATAAATAAAAAACGCGCTTCTCAACGAGCAGCATCTCGATCGGAAGGACCTCGGGAACGTCGTGTCGTGATTTACACACACACGTTTGCACAACGAGATTCCGGGGCCTCGGACGCACTTTTTCCCGATCAAGCAGTTAGCATCATCGTTTATAAACTAATCACCGTTCGTGAGAGCCACCACTCATGACTTCGTTTATCGCAAGAATCGAAGGAACGAGACATCCTGACGTCCCGACGGAGGATTCGGGAAACACGCAAGTACTTTTATCGTATTCCTGTCCGTTTTATAAGAATATAACGAAGGGCCGATATTTACACAAATTACAAAAATGTCGTTTAGACAGCAAAAGATTTGGTTTGGATAGCAGAAAGAGTTAGTTAAGAGTATTAATTATCCAGGAAATACTAATTAATATTCTCCACAAATCCTTCTGCTATCCAAAGAAATTTCTTGCTGTCTGAACAAAATTTTTTTTGCTGTCGCTATATTGACAAGTATAGTGATAAATATATAAATAATATTTGTTGTTCTAATGAAATTTGTTTTCTTCGTGCAGTGCCACTTCGATTCTTTCGGTTCTTGCCGTAACCAATCATCTCGTAAGCCCGTGAGTGTGACTCACAATCAGAGCCCCCCACCCCCAAACATAATCCAACCCTACATTCGCTCTGGTGAGAATGAAAAAAGTAGAAATGTGCCGTTTCAGACAAAATCAAACCCGAGTCCGAGGATCATTTATATCGGCGAGAAACTAATCCGAACTATGTTCAGGTGTCACGTCTGACTTTACCGAAGCGGATCGGGTTAGATGATATTTCTGATAATGAATCTCTTATCTTTATATCTCTTATATTTATTGTAAGTAATGGACGTCGATGAGAGGAAGCGAGATGAGAGAAGGAGAGCTACATTCGGAGAAGAACACACGTAGTCGTAGACTCTTTCTCTCTCTCTCTCGGATCCTTGCGCTGCATGGTTCCGCTCGCAATAATGACCATTTGATATCCTCTCAACGTTATGAGAAAGGAAAAACTTGCGCACACCGTTGCGGGGAACGAACGTACAGATGGAGGAGGCAGAACTTCGACCGCGAACTCGCCGAGCAAGCTGCAGAGTCGAGACGCGCGGATTTCTACACACTCGGAGAAAAATACGGTAACAGAGGTGAATCAACAACGAAACAATATGGGTAAAATTACACGTAGTTTGATCAGCCGTTTTATAGTTATCGAAACTACAAATTCGTATTACTGTGACAATTATAGCTGTCGAGAATTATATAGTTTATGCCACGCTGTACCACGTATATTCCGTTGCAATACGACTATAAAACAGCTCATTAAACTGTACACATGAATTCTACGCACAAAACTCGTACAGTCGTCACGACTACGTGTGTTCTTCTCCGAATGTAGCTCTCTCTCTCTCTCTCATCTCGCTTCCTCTCATCGACGTCCATTACTTACAATAAAACATTACAAAACTAACGACATGAGACAGCGCGCGAGAAGGTGTTACGAGGTTAGATACTTAATAAATTTCTATATATTTGTATATATTCATTACGATGGTAGATCTCGCCTGTCCTGTAGTTCCTGTGCAGCTTGAACCCCTTGAACGTATTCATTATTTGCCTAATCGGCTCTTTACTAAAGCTCATTTTTATGTTCCACGCGTTCTTTTTCATGTCCTTCATGTTTATATACGTTAAAACCACCGGACAGTCCGTATAGAACCATTTCTTAAGTTTCACCCATGTTTCCCAGTTTGGGGGTATCATGTGCAAACCTACGATCACGTTCGGATTCCTGTACGAATTGCTTTTCACGTAGTTGCCGTACGACATGCGGTGACACTCGAATTGAAACTCGTGGTGCAAACCCGCGCACTTCTCCAGGCAAAGCGGGACTGAACCGTGCGATTCCTCCGACAATTCCAACCCTACAATCACGACGATCAGCTTCGTCGGATGCGTGAAGACGTGTAAGAAATACTCCCAGAACTGCACCTCGCGTCTGATCTCGTCGCTGGCCATTATCACGTGAATAACGTAGGTGCTTTTCGTCATCGGGATTCGTATTAACTGCGACCTCTGCAGGCCGTGGTACACCGTCAGCGGGCCTGACAGGTAATCGGAAAAGGCGATGTCCAGAATGGACCAGAGTAGATGGCGTGCGGGTAAGACGTGCGTTTTGAAAAACGAATACATGTCTTTAACGTCCCACCGGGAGTCGGGAAACGTGTGCAACGACCGCCACTCCAGGACGCAGTCCTTCGTGTAGATGATTTCCGTCTCGGTGAAGAGCCACTTCTTGAACTCCGCGCAATTGTGCGGCCGGATAGGACGGTCGAAGTGTTCCATGCAGTAATCGACGCAGAAGCACTCCGGACAGGGCATCAGATCGATCTCCTTGTAGCAGACGTTGCAGTGCCTCATGGACATCATTATGCGTATTTCGTGCGGCAGCAGGTTGCGAGCTAGCTTTCGCAAGACTTGTCCCATCTTAGCGTACCTGTAGGAGGTCCAGACGTTCAATAATACCCTGCCGTCGAAGTTCCGCAACTTTCTTTCGGCGATCAGCTCCAATATGGCGTCGCAGAACCCGCTGTGACCGACTCTCCCGTCGGATCCTTCCCGGTCCTCTTCCATGTGCTCGGGGGAGCAGTAAGAGACCAAGCCGCATTTACAAAAAAACGTGTTGCCGTCGTTCAGCCACTTGCAGACGTTACACACGATCGGGTGGAAGAACAAATCGTTGTAATGAGGGTTAACCATCGTTGCGTGTGTGTCCGCGCAGCGCGGATGTTTCGACGATGCTCGATTTCTGCGTGAAACGTAGGCAACTAAGCGGAATCGAGAAGATTCTGTACACGCGCGCTCACGGCACCGAACTCGCCGACTGTTCCGATGTGTTTACAAATGTTTCGTCCCGAGTCAAGGGACTTGTTGACGATCTCTGTTATGGTAGGACGCATAACGAATGTCCGGACGCCCGTTAGCGTCAGGATCTACAACAGGTGTGTGGTAAATAAAGCTTTGTGCTCGACAAGTTGTAACGACCTTGGCAGACCGGCTGACTCGGCTCGGCTTCGAAACAATGTTTTATGTCTTAAGGTTTTATCCTGATAATAGACCGAAGAGCCGTTCTGTTTGTGACCGACGACTAACCGTTGTATGATAAAAAGCGAAAAGAGAATAACTTGTAATAATAATAACTTGTAAAAATGATAAAAAATAAATATATAATAATGAGAATAATAATAAAAGGAAAGTAAGAGAGTAAAAAGTGAAGAAATTTAGGGGAAGATCGATGGGTCAAAACATCGTCTTAAGAATACAAATCAGCCACTTTGCTCAAATTCTAACGTAATTCCCAGCAGAAAGCGTTTCTAGTGCTATCAGATAATTCACAATTCCTAATTTCAGTGTCATAACAACTTTAGGCGACGCGAGGAACACTTCCCGTCGGAAATTACGTTGCATTTTATAAAAGCCGAAAAGCTTATTACACCTATTTGCAGTTTTACAGTCGGCAGGTTAAAAGTCGCGACACTTCTTTTCCGACGAGTTTCGCAACGCTTTCCGCGTCCAATAGGAAAAATTCGTTTTATCGCTCGCACTCAGATCAAGACTAAAAATCCCCTGTGAGGATCATAACGTTCTCGCTTATATAGAAGAATACATACTCTTGATTCAAGCCTGATCTTTTGTACCGTGTTTACCTGGGAAATGCATCCATGTGATGCAGGTGTCTGTAGACAAGCAGATGCTCATTGTGATAATACACACGACCGTTCTCCACGTCTTTCGTCATCATACGGCTACTGAATTTATTCGTCCTGTTAAAATAAGGTTTCGCGCTCAGCGACAGCGCCTTTTGTATCCTTTTCAAGTGTCGGCGCGCGTTCACTCTCGTTCTGGTTGTCAGAATGAACGGGATGTCCGGGTCCTCCAACGACGATATGAACCGCGTCCACGACTCCCCGCCGCTGAGCCTCACGTGAAATCCTACGATGACGTTCGGCCTCTTGAACAGTTTCCTCTCATCGCTCGCGTAATCGTGATACAACATACGATGGTATTCGTATCGCAATTCGTGGCCGAAGTTCGCGCATTTCGCGTTGCAGATCGGCACCGTGCCAGACCTGCCGGCCAATTCCGGCGCTATCTGCGCCCCTACCATCACAACGATCAGCTCCGTCGGCTTACCGAAGACGTGTAGGAAAATCTCCCAATACGGCAAAAACTTGTCCACGTCCTTTCTCGCTTCGAGTATATGAATGACGTACGTTCTCTTGGTGCCCTCAACCGGCTCAGGAACTTGGAATAATTCGGCCTCCCGCAAGGCGTAATACGTTGTCAGCGGCCAGGACACATAGTCGGAATAGACGATGTCCATGACAGTCCAACTTGCTGTCTTCGCGGGCAGCACATACGACTCGTAGAACTCAACCATGTCTTCGACGTGGCATTTATCGGGGAAATTGTGAAACGTTCGCGTCCAAGGGACACCCAGGTTGACGGTCTGCATCGATAAGTACAGCCAGTTCCACCGGTCCTCGCACTTGTGGTACTTGTGATTCTTCTTCTTCCGGTGATGGATCTCGCAGAAATCGACGCAGTAGCAGGAAGTGCAAGACCTCAGGCCGGTCTCGTGGTGACAGAAGAGGCAGGATCGCGCGGACAGCAGCATGCTTCTTTCGTGCGGGTGCAGGTCGCGTTGCAGCTCCTCCTTGACGATTTTCACGTAATTAAACGGACGGTAGTACCATTCGCCGTGGAGCAGGGGGCTGTAATTCCGCATCTTGCCCTCCCTGATTAATTTCTGCACGACTTGGCAGATCTCGTTGTGGCCGACGATCCTCGCGGTACGATCTCGATCCAGCGCACTGTGTACTCTATCGCAGTAGGAGATCATGCCGCAGGAACAAGGTTCCGTATTCCCGTTGTACAGCCATTTGCAAACGTGACAGATGACCGGTTGGAAGAACGTCGTGTTGTAACGGTAGCCTCTAGGTTCTACTTCGTGTCCACGAAGTTGACCGGCCCTCGCTGCCATCCTTTCGGCAAAACGGACCCTCCTGTTATGGTCGCAACAACGCTTGATTTTCGGCGCGCGAAACTCGACGACTCGGCGGAATCGAGAAGAGTCTGTTGTATATTGCGACACCGGACGTCGACTCGACGACTGCTCGAGGGACAATGATATAACGCGTTTACAAATATTTGATTCGGCTTCGTCGAGCTGACGTCGCGTCCTTTAAATTGAATTCGTTCCCAACGTTTCGTTCGAACGTTTCAATTTGCCTCTTCTCTCGAGGTGAAGAACGGCCTGAAACTCACGAAACGTGTGAAACTTCACGTAGGAAGAGTTTGTAAACTAAACGCGTTTACAAACAGTGTTTCCCGCCTGCCTCGATCTCTGTTGTATATGAGAGATACAACGAATGTATCCGTTACCAGGCAGAGAACGTCACGACGGTATCTGAAACGTACGGATCTTCCCTGAGTAAATGCTAAATTATTGCACGACAAGTGTGCGACGATTTTAATTCTCTCTTAATACGTGCGATACGTACGAGACATTTTTTTCTCGGATAAAATTGTACAATTAAACTAAATGAAGATCGGCGAAGAAAAAGTACTTCGACGATTCATCGACGAAGACGAGCAGTCGAAACGCACTGATCTACGGCAATCTCTTCGCCCCTTTGTCGCGTGTCGACGTCTCTATTACCTATGATATATAATATATAATATTACAAAGATAATGATACAATTATATGAATACAAGAACGGAGCCGCAGAATTTGGACGCGCGGATCTCTTAGTTTCGTTGAACGACGGAACGCGGGATGGAAGGGGAGGAATATCGTCACTCATCCCGGGGGGGATGAATTCTCTCGTCACGCTCTCGTCGATACTACTGTCACAAACTGTGTTTATTTTTATCATTAATGTATATTATTTATTATAAATAAGTTAGAAACATTGATTTTGGGCTTGGTAGGTGTTTACAATTTTATACACAGAGAAAGAATATCCAACGCATTATGCACTTGGAAGGGTGGTAGGTGTGATCGCCTCCGCTCGACGAAAGAGAGATGATTTACAAATGAACCTAACAGCCCTCTCAAGGTGCTCGAGGAAACTCTCGCACGTGTCGTCTTGCACTCGCCGATTTCTCGATTTGGGTTGTACAAATCCTATAATGTCTCGCAACTCATCTTCTTTATCCTCTCTCTTTTTCTTTTTTCTCGTTTATCTCTCTTGTTTAAATGCCTCTCTCTCTCTCTCTCTTCCTCTCTCTCTCTCTCTCTCACATATATTGAAATCGCTCACTCACGTCTCCCGCTCTCTCTCTCTCTCCTCTCTTACTGTACTCTCCAATCCCCATTTTCTTCCATCTTTTATCCACATACACACACACATACGTACAAGTGAGTGCACGCAGGTGCCCACGCAATTGCACAAATACTCATAAATATGCACGGTGACACGCATACACGAAAATACACATACGCATAGACAGCAGACATGCGCGCGTACATACGCATACATACGCACATGTACACGTACGCATACATAACATACAATCTCTCTCTCTCTCTCTCTCTCTCTTTTCACTCACTTTTTCATTTACGCTATCAATTTCACTAGCATCGTTTTGCACTTCGTGTCCTGCACATGCACTATCTGTCCTTCCCTCTCTCCCATCACCCGTTTTAATAACTCTCTCTCTCTCTCTCTCTCTCTCTCTCTCTCACTGAAAACCAAGCAATGTTACTATTATGATAATAATAATAATTATTAATGTTATTATTATTTAATTATATTATTACTATTATTATTTTATCATTATAGTTATTATTATGGTATATATATATAATTATAATTATGTAATATTATTTCCTGGTAGTCGCTTAATATATATATATATATATGTATATATATAATTCAATGTATATGAATAATTTGATATATATATATATATATATATATATATATATATTTTTCA